GCGGGCACTGAGTGCCCAGGAGGTACAGAGAGGCTGCGGTTAGCCTGAGGAAGCACAGCGGCAGGAGGTCCCAAGAGGAGAGGACGCTACCTGGGTGTAGACGTGCACACTTTCTAGGACCGTGGGCTCAAAAGCGAGCAGAATAACAGTTATTCTAAAATAACCAGAAGGGGCTTCAGGATTAACCCAAATCTGGCCAGACATCTGAATTCTGCTTCTAGCTGATATGGTTGCCACAGATTCAGAAATGTTGGGAATGATCTAGTCCAACCCTTCTCCTTTTCTAGATTAAGTGGTAACTGGTTCAAAACAAAGCTCGTCTACAAAGCAGGTCTCTTGACACCCATCCCTGTCAGGCTGCCCAGCCAGGGCAGGCACTGTTGACTTAGCCTAACTGAGAGCCCCGCCACTGTCAGAGTTAGACCAGAGGGCAGATCAAAGAGTCTCCTCAATGTCTCCAGTATACCAGGAATATTAGCATTTATGGTTCTGCTACAATGGCTCAGCTGCCCAGTATACTATTAAGGGACAACTATGTGCCTGACACTGTGCTGGAGGTGAGTGGGAAATGACAGGAACTACAGAGGCAGGGAGGGACATGCAGAACAAGTTTAAAGTACAGTTTGTGGCCTAGGAGGGTTTTTTTTTAATAGGCAAGACCACTTCATGGGGGACATTAGGAGGCACCTTATCCCTCAGTACTGATTTGGGTGACGTCAAGTACTCCAGCCACAGGTCTTTAGAACTTTGGATGATGATGATGGTGACAGAGGCTGTTCTACCTTTTTCAGGGATTTGAGAGAATAAAGCAAAAGTACGCCGAGCTGAAGGACCGGTTGAGCCAGAGCCCCATGCTGGGGGAGCAGGGCAGCCGGATCCTGAGTGTCAAGACAGAGGCAGAGGAGCTGTTTGGGGAGACCATGGAGATGATGGACAGGATGAGAGGTGAGGGGATGGTTCGGGGCATCCCTGAAGGCTGGGCCCAGCCCAGCGCTTCTGAGGCTCAGTCTTGCTGGGGCAGCAGGGCTAAGGGAGCGAGGCCAGCCGGAGTCTCTGAGCACCTTGTGAGTACGGGGCATGATGGTGAGGCTGTGGGGAATGTAGAGGTGTTTACAAGACATGGCCTGTTTTCAAAAGCTCGAGATCTAGATGTGGCCCTTTTTCCTACAGTTTCTGAGATGCACGACCCTGTGTTTAGCAGCACAAGGGGGCCTGTGATAGGGGCCCAAATGGCAAGAGGCCAAAGAGAAATGCTCAGTGAAGGGAATGTTCAGAAAGGATAAGATTAGATGTGGACTTGAAGGATGTGTAGACCTGGGAGAGACTGGGAAGAAGGAGAGGGATCTCAAGCAGGGTGAGTGGGGAGGATGAGGCACATTTTGAAAATGGGGCAGGAGCACCCAGCCAGAGAGGAGGGCTGAGGAGGGTCAGAACGGGAGGGAGAGAAGGAGCAGGGGTTGGCGTGGCTGGTCCGCACACCTGGCCTCCCTGCCAGTGGGAGGGAGACCCAGCCCCAGAGGAACCACCTGAGGGTTTCAAATGTGGCAGAGGCTTAACGAAAGATTTCCAAAGGGTTCCGAGTGTCTCAGAAAGGAGAACAGGGATGTCCAGGACCCAGGCTCCATCTCTAAGGTGTCAAGAGGATGGGACAATTGCACTGATGTGCCAGAGAATGCCTCAGGCAGCGTTTCTCTGAAGCTCAGAGAAAGAGGCAAAAATCCGTTTGGCTGACCAGGTGGATACCATAGAGGAGGTCGGGCTGTTGAGTAAACAGTGAGCAGATGTGAGGTGGTGGCCAGCCAGACCTGAAGGAATTCCTCTCAGACGAGAGGAATCGACCTTGACAGCGGAGCCCAGGGGCTGCTGGGTCAGTGGGTGAAGATAAAGCATATGCTTCTCAAATCTTTACAACAGATAGTTGATACACTAGAAAAGAGAACCGGTGTTCTAAGGCAATCTTGGAAATCTAAAAGGATGGGCTGAAGCACTATGAAATTAAACGAGGAGAGACGCTATCTTCCACGCTGGCTTCATCTGGGCCTGAAGCCATCAGCGCAGCCCAGCCGAGGCCTGGCCTCTCAGTGGCTGCTGCGGGGGGGACACTTCACCACCAGCGAGCGAGAGGCAGATATGAGTTGTTACTCAAAACTGAAAATGACTCAAAGTCATTTTCAGAGTTTCGAGTATCTGTAAGCTGAATAAAAGTTAGCAGTATCTTGTTATTGCCAGAGAGCAGATAAATACAAAGCAGTCAGGATAAGGGAGTAATGGCTCAAGGGTGATATTAAAAATATTTAGAAATCGGTGTGCTATGCACTGACCAACCAGCCAAAGCTCAGGTTGTGGCACTGGAATGGCTACTGACCGACCTGCTTGCAGGAATTTACTTCTAACTGCAGAATTATGGGGGTGATCCTGCATAGGGGGTTCTTAGGGTGGAGACCAGGGACAGAACAGCAGCTGTTAAAAGTTCAATATTTGATCAACGCATAGCCCAAATGGGTACCTACTGGCTGAATGGCAGCCCAGTACTAACCCTGTTACACTCCACTGACAGCATCATGTCCCTGGGGAGGTCCGGTGTTCAGTGGCGGCAGCTGCACCTTCAGAAGGGATATCGACAAACCAAAAGTCCGGGGGAGAGTGACCAGGGTTGGAAGGGCTTAGTGATCACATCAAATATGGAAGAGATGAAGCGATTAAGGAGGTTTCATCTGGAGAAGATGAGCCTCAGGCTTTTGAAGGACTGTAGTGTGGGAGACAGAGCAAATCTATCCCTACACCCCTAGGAGACAGACACAACAATTAAGCAGGAAGGGTCTGACTCTGGCTTAATGAGAGGTTTTTCCTTCTCCTTTTCCTTTTCCCTTTCCTTTCCTTTCCTCTTGCTTTTCTTATCTTTTCTCTTTTCTTGTTTTTTTCTTATCGTTTTTTTTCTTTTTTCTTTGTTCTTTGTTCCCCTCCCTCCCTCCCTCCCTCCCTTCCTTCCTTCCTTCTTTCATTCTTTCCTTCTGATGCCTAAAGTTGGAGCCTTGTGAGGCAGTGCACTCCTTCCCTGTTTCTAGAAAAGCTCAGGCTGAGGCTGGGTCCCAGCTCTCATGAATATGGTAGAGGGTCTCCCGCCCCAGGTGCCAGGAGGGACAGGCTGGATGAGGCCACAGGCTGGTGGTAGGCTGCAGAATATCTGTGGCATTTCGGGGAGGGAGAGTGGGGAGGCACTCTGGTCACTCAGCCAGCTCTTCGCCATGGTGTCCACCCGAGGATCGCTGGTGGGATGGCTGCCATCCAGAGCCAGTGGTAGCGGGCTACTAATCTTGGTGCCAGTGGCTGCCCTCATTAGCCTGGGACAACTGAGGGGGCCTAGAGCAGAGGAGAAGGGTAGGGGCCATGGGATAATTGGGATGAGGGCTTCCTGGGCTTGGCTTCTGGCATGTGTGAATGGGAGGAGTGTGGGGCTGGAGAGGGCCATTTTGAGGGGGATCCCCCAGAGGTGATTCCTCCTGCAGGTGCTGTCTCCAGGTGGGTGGGAGTCTTTGGGGACTCACCAGCCCCCTTTTCTCCCCTGCTGTTCCATCTGCCCTCAGACATGGAGTCGGAGCTGCTGAGGGGGAGCCAGGCCATCATCCTTCGCTCAGCGGACCTGACAGGGCTGGAGAAGCACGTGGAGCAGATCCGCGACCACATCAATGAGCGGGTGCTCTACTACGCCACCTGCAAGTGATGCTCCCGCTGCCAGCTCCCTGGGCCCACACACCTGCCCTCCTTGCTTTGGGGGACAGACTGGTTTGGAACGCTTCCCAGCTCCTTTATGCAGCCGGAAGCACCTCCTGGCCCACCGCTGGTGTGCAGCTAGTAAGGCTACTCTGGGCCACAGCTGAGCCTGAGCTGATGGGACAACCACATGTGAGGGACAAGGGATGGCAGAGGTGAGCCATGTCATCGTGACCGGAAGCTCTCAAGCAGAGGAAGCTTTTGGCTGGGCAGTGTCCTCGCTCTGTGTTCTCCACTGAGGCTGAATCCTGGACCAACACAAAACTTAACCCACATGATGTACAAATAAAAGCGCCCAATAAAAGTCTTTGGAAAGGATCCTGGAGGTTCAAAGAGGGAAAATCATGTGTCTTCTATTAAGCAAACCTTTATCACTTGTTTCTGTCTCCCAAGGCCTGGTGGTGCAGGAAACGTAGGCTGCCCCACTCCGCTCAGCCCAGCTTGCTCATCAGCCCGACTTGGGAAGACGGGGCCCCTCTGCCCAGGACCTGATGGGTTCCATCCGGGAGAGATTAGAGGAGCCGTTTCACCTTTGAACGATGATCTAGTTTCATATTTACAGATGAGGAACTAGAAATCGAGAGAAGGGAAGCAAGGTGGCCAGATTCACACAGGTTCCAGAAACAGGACTAAGACCAGAACCAGTGTGTCTTGGGTTCTCAAAGAGAAGTTGTACTGGATGTGTATTTGTGTGAGTGTTTGGGAGGTGGATATGGAAACGGCATGAGCATTTGTGGGCGGCCACAGCCCAGGCACTGGGCGAGGCATTTATCTACATGAACGTCTCGATCACTATCGCTCACTCTTTGACACTGGGCGGGACACGTGCTCTGTGGTATTTCATGATGTAGGTGGCACTGTTGTCCTCATCTGACAAGTGAGGAAACCAAGGTGGCCTAAAGGGTTACATGACTTCCCCCAGGTCACCAGTGTGGCAGGGCAGGCTGGGCCTCAACTTCATGCTCATCTAATACCAATCAGTAGGAGAATGGACGCTGGAGCTGGACCGCCTGAGCTCCAGGAGGTCACATGAGGAGTAAATGGGTCAGAATGTGTAGCTCGCCCCTGGGTGCCTGGCGTCCCATGTGCACCCTTCCACGTCTGCTAGATTCTTCCTGGCCTCGAGCTCTCCACACACTTTCCGCTCCCCACATGCTCACAAGTCCCTGAGCTGCTTCTGACCGCGAGAAGAACCAAATGAAGCCTCATAGAGAAAAATATGTCCATTTTATTGAGCACAACACTGAGCATGAAGCTGGTGTGAGAGGTCAGGTGGCAAGAAAACTGGGGAGGGGCGAGAATGATGTACCTGACTTTTAGGAAGAGAGAGGGGGAGCAGAGGCAGGATTAGAATTACTGCTGAAATGAGAACAGTCAGCTCCCAATTTTTACTTAATTGGGTGTGTGTGGAGGGCATCTGGCCAGGATCCTAACTCCTTACAGTACTTTGCCTCAGATTTCTAACTTTTTCTTCTGGGAGGGTGTGGCACTCACTGCCTTTGGACAGGGGCAGGGCGGGAGGAGGCTCAGAAGTGGGCCAGGGTACACTGGCGGGAGCTTGGCACAGTTGGGAGCTAACCCTGGAGTGAAGGATTCAAATTTTGAGAGCTCACAGGCAGATCGTGGAGCTGCCTGTTGTTCATGCAGACGGACAGATGACTACGCTGATGGGCCAGTCCATTCTGGCTGTGAGGACGGAGGCCTGAGAGGCAGGGACGAGTATGTGCTGAGTAAGGAGTCTGGGCCGATGCTCCTTATGGCTTTGCTCTGAAGGTGACACAGCCTGGCCAGCCTGTTAAGCTTTTCACTACAAACACACAGACCTGGGGAGGAGCTATCTACACACACTGCACAGACCACGGCACGTAGGGTGTGGGGCGCAGAGCAGGTGGGTCAGGGACACCTGGAGGCCAGCAGACGCCACTCCTCCTGCCTGCAGCTTCTGAGAGACCTCTGCCCCTGGAGGCTCACGCCAGGGCCTTTGGTGAGGGTCTGCCCCAGGTGGCAGCAGTTGGCTGCTTCTCATCAGAGACTGTCCCCGCCAGGCCCTGCTCCACTTCTCCCCTTCCTCCTGCTGCACAGTAGACCCCAGGTTCCAAAGGGCAGAGACGAGCTGACAGTTTCTCCTGCAGAGGAAAGGGCTTCAGGTTGGGGTGGGGCCGCCACCTCTGGCACCCCTGGGACCCCATCATTCAGACTCTGGGATGGGGCTTTTCTTCTGGGACAGAAGCTCCCCCACCAGGTTTCCACCCTGGCCCTCCTGTCTCTAGTCTCCTCACCTGAAAATTGCAGTGACACAGGCACGGCCCCCAGAGATCACATAATGAGACAGACTCCGGTCTGCCCCGCCCTGCAGTGGGAGCTGCCGCTGGCTTTGACTGGCACCATGACCTCGGATTTGAAGTTCCTGGAAAAGAAATGCAGGCTATGAAGTATTTGAGGGAGGAAGAGAGCCCAGGTAGTTTTCAGCCCTTCCTTTATGAGGTTCAGAAAGTACAGCACTTGCAGAAAAGACACACAAGACAACCAAACCTCTTTCCACCCCCGCCCCCGCCCCAAAACACAGAGGCCCTGGAAGCTCAAGGAATCTACTGTTCACCATTCACATGTACCCAGTTTTCTGCAGGCATTTATCACTCTTGCTGCTTCACTAAACTTTTATAGTACCTCGGTGAGGCAGCCTGAGCAGGTCCATATAATTCAGTTAACCCCTTTTACAGGTGAGCAAAATAGAAAGAGAAATGAACTGGTGGTCAGCCATCACACAGCTAGTGGGCGGTAAGGACAGCATTTCCCTTAGCCCCTCATCCAGAGCTCTTCCCACCCTTTGGGGCTTCCTCAAGTTGGGAAACATCCTTTGGTCAATTTATTTTAGCTTTTGCCTGAGTTCTTTCAGACCCAGGCTGAGCAGGGCTGGGCCTCTGTCTTCGAGGGAAAGTACGTACTGTTTCTTGTTGGCCTTTCTGAGGAGTGTGGGCTCGGAGCAGTAGCAGGACTTCCCTTTGCTCCCGATGCTCAGGCAGCTGGAGCAGCAGCCACAGGGCCCAACGGCGAGGGGCCCCTGCTGCATGGGCACCAGACTGCTGCTGATGCGGAGGGACCCATTGACCAGGCAGTTGAGGGACTTGGGGCCTGGGGTGGTGGGCCGGGGGCTGTGCTGGCAGGGTAGCCGGGTCAGGGCGGGGAGTGCCGCCCTCTGGTCCAGGGCGGGGGCTTCAGTGATGGTGATCTCAGGAGAGCTGGGTCTTGAAGCTTCTGAGGCTTGATTGACGGGAGGCCTGTTCTCCACCTCTGGGCGGACGCCCGGACTGTGCAAGTTCATGTGCAGCTTCCTCATGTGGTGTACCACGGCTGCTGCATTGAAGGCTTGCTGAGGAGACACAGCACCAGCCTTGGCCATTTCCACTTTCAGAGGGTCACAGAGCTCAAGCTTTCCCTCTGCTCTGTGGCCTCTTGAAACCAAGGTGCCTGCTTCTCCTTCCAGAGGGGTCCAGGGAATGCCAGTGTCTGCTGGGAAGCCCCAAGGAAAGCCCCTCCATCATCCCCTGCCCCGGCCCAGCCCCCAGGGCCCCAGAACAGCCCGGCACCTCCCAGAGAGGACAGATTACCCTCCATTTGCTTTTGGCAAAGTTCTTCTGGATCTGAAGGCTGACTGATGGGTAGATGTCCCGGTGGAGGGCTGTGTTTCCATTAATCCTGTGGATGCAGAGGGGACACCTGGATAGTAGTTGGCTATGGGACTCAACCAGGAGTTGGGCAGGGGACTGTGCAGGTAGGTCCAGGTTAAGGCAAACGGAGTGCCCAAGGAGACGGGTGGCCACAGTAGGAAAGGCTGGAATCAGAGCTCCTCTGTCCCCCTGGGAAGGTCATCAGGGGCCTATGCTTTGGAAAAACCAACAGCTTACTTTAGAGCGGGGTCAGCAGATTCTGGTGTGTAGCCCAAATCTGCTTATTGCCTGCTTTTGTAAATAAGGCCTTCCTGGGACATGCCCGTTCATTCAGGTACGGGCTGTGGCTGCTTCCGTGCTACACAGGCAGATTGACTAGTTCCCACAGATGTGGTATGGCTAGCAGAACCTAAAATATTTACTCTCTGGCTTTTTATATAAAAAAACATTTACTGAGTGTCAGAGGGCACATGGTTTTTCATTATCTGTTAGCTCAGAGCCCATCTCCTCCCGGAAGCCTTCTTCAGTGAGGTCACCCAGTACAGGTTACCCTTTTCCTGTCCCCTCAGTCCTTTAGTCACTTGTCTCTAAGTGTTCCTCAGACACTTGCCACATGCACAGTACTTGCTAGGTACTAAGGAGCCCGGAGAAGGATCGTAGCAGATGGGGTCCTAATCCCTAGGGCTGACAGTGTAGGGTGGAGCGTTGCTTCAGGCCGTGAACCAGAGCAATCCACGGGAAGCTCTGTAATTGATAGTGAGAGGTGAGGAGGCCTGCCCGGATCGCGGGAGCTGAGGCTTCAGGAAGGGGCGGAGACTATTCTGCATCCTGAAAGATGCCACATCCGAGGCAGGCGGAGGACATTCTAGGTGGTGAAAATGGCATAACCCGAGGAATAATTGGAAATAATTTGGTGTATGGGGTAGGGGAAGGCAGGGAGAGGAGTACAGATCTTAGGCATTTCTGGAACAGAGGTGTGTTGGGAATCCTGGGAAATAAAGTTGGAGGCCAGGCCACATTAGGGAATACCTGGAAAGACAAAAGAATCTGGGCTTGCTGAGGCAGGAAATAGGGAGCTATTGTAAATTCTCAAGCAGGCGTGTAGCAAGAAAAAAGGAAGTGTTTCAGGACTTTACTTACCTACTTTATGAATTGTGATTTTCTCAGGTCACTTCATATGGAACAGGTTTTGACCCCAAAGAGAGTAAAATGATTCTTTTAATAATAGGCCAGAGCTGCCTGTGCCTGGGTGCCTCTTGAGTAACGAGTACTGAGTATTCTCCAGTGCTGATGACAGCACCCCGCTGCCTCTGCCTTCTGCACTTGACCAGGTGACCCGGTTGCCACCCTTGGGTCAGAACCCACTTAATTAAATGCTGTTTGCATCTCTAGTTGGGCCAGGTGAACACTTCAATGCTCTGTGAATGCCACAAGAGTAAACAGCTTAGGGAAAGCAGACTCCAGGGAAACACATCTTGCAAACAGGTCAGTGTGACATTTGGGGAGCCACTGGCCGGGGCTAGGAGCCACCCCATCCCTCACTCACCAGGGGTGCCTCAAGGCTTTCTCACAGGTGTACCGCTCATTTGGGTCCTTCTCCAGCAAGTGGCAGATAAAATCCTTGGCTAAGAGGAGCAATCAAAGACATAGCATCTTAGGACCAGATTTCATGACTGATGGAAATTCACTTCCGGGCTTGTGGGTGGCAGTGAATACATCTTTTAGCTAATCTTCCAAAGAGGCAATTTAAAGAGTCTTAAAAGGAGAAAAAAGAAATCTAAACCACCTAACAACAACCCACCATAAAGAACTAAAGAGAGGCTCTACTCAGTCTCACCCACATAGCATTGCACATATATCTCCCGTCACGAGGCACCAACATGCCTGCAAGCCACGTGAGTGTGCACTTGCCCCATTCAGGGGCCTGCACCTGCACATGGGGACACATGTGACTGCTGGCTTTCTCCAGCTCTGATCTCTATTTAACGGGCACAATGACACGCAATGATTGCCTGCCCACACACCGAGGTATGGCATGGTCTCGGTCTCTGTGTAAAAGTTAAAACTTGGCCTTGGTACTTGCTAGGTACTAAGCAATTCCCGCTGGAAGATTCCCCTCTTCCTGGCCCTGCCCTTCTGGTCCCTCATCTGAACTATTTCCCCTGCTTTTACCAGGCAGACCATGCTTCTGTCTCTAGGAAAACAAAAGCATGAACCTTAGATGCGAATAATTTATTTGGCCTCTGAACCACATGAAGATTTCTCTGCTCTCCTTGGCAGCCTGTTGTCTGTCAGGTTCCCCAGGGACTTTCAAGAGCCAGGACCGTCATCCTTTGTTAAGGGCTTTTCTCTTGGCAGCCTGTGCCTGGAGCCTGTTATCTTGTCCTTCACACCCACTGGTCTTACCTGACTCAGAAATGTCATCCCAGAATGGGGACTCAAACTCAAAGTAGCCCTCCTTGATCTTCTCAAAGAGCTTAGACTCAGTTTCTTCGTAGAAAGGAGGATACCCACACAACCTGCAGTGGAACAAAAGGGCCATGCTGCTGACTGACCCCTCCCTCCCTAGTTTAGCCCCTCCCTAGGCCAGCCCCATCCTCTGCCCAGCCTCTGCCTTCTGCCCAGCCCCCCACAGGGTCCACAAGCAGGCAGCAAGGTGCTCCACCAGCAGTATGGCCAGGACGTGGACCTGCCTCTGATTCACACACAGTGCAGGTCCCATCAAGTGTTAATGTGGGAGCCAAAGCTTGGAACAGGCAGCGTTGGATGGCCTCTTTGGGCATTTTAAGAAGGGTGGTAGAATGGCCACTTGACCATAAGTGTCATGAGGGATTTTTGAAGACTGTTTTGTTCTTTATGTATTTAGTACCTAAACTAGTGATTGGCTCAGGGTAGACAGCCAATGAATATTTATTGACTGAGTGAATGAGTGAGAGTAGTTATTTGACATAAGTTAAGTAAATAGAGACCTGAATCCACACAAAGTGGTAAATGACTAACAGTAGATTGTTTTTCTAAGAGCAGAGTTTGCTATAGAGGAGGAGGGATGTGGGGGGAAGGGGTGATGAGCAGGTTTGGAAAGGAGAGCCCGAGAAGACGTGGAGAGGGGCGAGGACCAGGTTCATCCAGGCCTTTGTTTGGTCTCGAAATGACATCACCAGGAGAAAAATCTGAGATGCGAACATTGTGCCCGCTTGGCTTCCAGGCTTTGGCCTCTCCCCCTTTCACCGCTCGTTCCGCAGAGGGGAACTCAGCACATGCAGTAAGTAAATGGGGTGGAGGTGAAGGAGGGCAAACTACCATGTGGCTGGACAGTGGGTTCACACTGAGCTCTGTTTTTATAACCTGGTGGAGATCAGGACAGGTGGAGCTGTGTGCCCGAGTGTGTGCGCAGGTGTGTGTATGTGCACGTGTACATACACATGCTTGGGAGAGGGATGCTGCTTGAGGAGCTGACACAGGGGAGGGAAGAAGAAAGGGTGAGCAGGTTCTGAGATTTTCCAGGCACTGCGCCAAGGACATCTTCTACTCACAATATATAAGTGATGACGCCAATGGACCAGCAATCCACAGCCTTGCTGTAAGGTTTCTGGGCCAATACTTCTGGAGCTGCAAACCAAAGGCAAAGTCATGGCTGGGTAAGATGAGGGGGCTGTGGGTTGGGGGCTGAAGGTCAGGAAGAGGCTTGGAGGAGAGGACTTATAGTGGCCCTCTCCTGGACCACTTCTAAGATGATGTTGCTTCTGTAAGTCTGAACACTCCTCTAGGGCAGGGATTGTGTCTCTCCCGTCAGACTAGAAGGTCCCATGACAGGGTCTATGACTCCCTGATCAGACTGGAGATCTCCAGAGCTATGTCTTTCTGAAGGCAGGCCCCATGGCTCTCCACTCAGACGGGGCATCCGCTGGGTGGGGGCTCTGTGTCCCCCTTCAGATGGGGAAACCTGCAAGTTAGGGACAGTCTCTTTCTTGCTAGACCAGGATCTCCATGACGATGGAGTCTGAGTCTTCCCTGTTAAGGGAGGAGCTCCCAGAGGGCAGGCTGCATCTGTCCCATCAGCCTCTGGTAGCTTCAAGGGCAGGGCTTAGTCTGCCTGATAAGATCATGAGCTCTATGAGGGAACGAGCTCTGTCTTCCACTGACTGGGAGCTCTGGGGCAGTAGAGAACCATCGTCAGTATTTATCACAGACACCAGGGCTTTGTGTCCAGTGGGATCAAACACGTAACGGTAAGTAACCAACCTCTCTGTTGGGGAGAGAGCTGATTCCCTCTACTGAGTGAGGGTTCTACTTCCCATTTCCTACCCCTAACCCGTAAGGACTGGCTAAGAGGGGAGGGGCAGGAGTGGATGCTCTGAGTCTCGGTTTTCTCCCCCATGGATATCAGGAATGCTCTCGCGGGGGATCTTGCCTGCTCTTTTTAAGGGCCTCTGGATGCCTCCTGTTTAGTCAGGGGACCCCACCTCTGCCAGTTTCTTAGGGTGTATATTTGGGGGGCCCATGTCTGGGTTTCTTGGATTCAAACTCGGCACTATACTTCCAGGATACCAACAACTGGGGGGCTGAGGTTTCCTCTTGAGTGGGGGAAAGGACAGAGGGCTAGTGGTCAACTGCTCAGCGGTCTAATGGTATCTGGGTTTGTGATCTTGTCTCTTTCCCTCATCTCCCTGGAAGGACAAATGCGAGAAGTCTGTGTGTAAAAGTGAGAAGCAAAGTCTATTACTCTGGGCTGTGGGGAGGGCTCAGGGGCAGGCTGTCTGTAAGATGTAGGATTTGGCAGCAGTTGGGGTAGTTTCAGAGATCAATGGATTGTCTGGCTCTGAACCTCATAAGTGAATCCTCTACTTAGCTTATCCTTGAAATTGAACCCTGTCTCCTTACAACTGTGAGTAACATCCCACTCTGTGAATAACATCCATGTGGTCAAATGTAGCCAACTGGCCAACCTTCCTCCTGCTCCCAGACTCACCAACGTAGCCTGGGGTCCCACAGGCAGTGGACATGACTCCACTCTGTTCCATCTTGGACAGACCAAAATCTGTGATCATGATCTTAGAATTCTCTTCAGGAGTGAGGTACAGCAGGTTTTCAGGCTGTGGTGGGGCAGGGGTTGGAGAAATACCATGTAGTGTAGGATATGATCACCTGAAACACACATCTCTTTCCTCCCCCGGACATGTAATTTCTCAGGAAGCTTTGCCTTGGGCTCCTGACTTCAAGGCCAGGCTCATCTCTCCCCTCTCTTCCCTCCTGCCTTCTTCCTGCACCCTCAACTCCTGTACCCCAGCATTCTGTATTTTGCTTATGGCCTTGACTTGGCTTAGCTTTATAGACTTTAATGTACTAATATCTCCTTCCTCTCATTCCCAGATACCCTAAGACTCTTTTGAAGAAATTCACCCTTCATTAATTGTCTCTGGCCTCTCTAAAGTCTGGTACCTGCCTGGTGTAACGTTGACCCTCAGTAAGTATTTGTCACATTTGAGTTTGACCGTGGCTCAGTTCAAGAAACCTGTGGATTATCTTGGTATCCAAATAGGGTGAAGCCTAGTGGAAAGTTCAGGAAAAGGCTGAGGTACAAATGAACAATGATTGTTCGTTCATCCAAGATTTGCTCAATCTAAGGGTAGAAAGGGCCGCAGGAGGGAGCTAGCCCAGCCCTCTCATCTTACAGAGCTCAGACTGCCCATGACCCCTGCAGCTTCCTAAGGGATCATTTCTCTGTCCTCTCCCGCCAAGCGAGGGCTCCCATCCTGGCACCTTTAAGTCTCTGTGGACGATGCCATTCTCGTGGAGGTACTTCACAGCTGACAAGACCTGCTGGATCACCAGGCTGGCGTCCTTCTCCGTGTACACACCCCGCTCCAGGATCCGGTCAAAGAGCTCCCCACCAGAAACGCTGTGGGCACAGGGGCAAAGGCAGGTCTTTTTTCAGGTTGAAGGCATGTGAATGCAGCCATGGGGACACCTGTCTGGCAGAACAGACAGGTACATGTGGACTCTGCAGGGAGGACTAGTCACTCCCGTCTCAGAAGACCTCCTTCGGGTCCCTGGAATGATATCCCTAGGGAGTCATTTCTTTTTGGGCCAACCATTGACCTCTCCCTGGCAACATCCTTTAAAATGTAAAATGCCCCAGTTAGGGTTTCACAAGAAGCCAATAATTCCTTTCTGAGGGCACATTGCTTCTTCCCTGGCCTAGGACACAGGAAGAAAGAAATGGTGAAGGGGGAAGCGAAACTGAAACGCAGCCGAGGGCAGGTGTGCACGCGAGAAATCCGCGTGTATGTCGGGAACTCTTTTTTTCATTTTGGAAAATTGGGCTACCTAAAGGTGAAATTACGGGGTGGAGTTGTAGTGGTAGCTTGAGGCTCATGTGGTATGGTATTTTAGGATTTAGGGGGGCCTTAAGGTCAAGTCTGACCCCCACTTCTTGAATACCATCTACACCATTTTTGCCAAGTCTTACAGTAAGTCCTGGGGCACATCAGTGGCAGAGAGCTCACCACTTCCTAAGGCAGACTGTTTTATCTGTTGTCACCTTAATATTTCTTCTGTATCTGGAAACCCGACTCCCTGTAGTTTCTACCAGCAGACATCAATTCTACCACTGGGCCCATTAGGGGAACCCAGATCAAAAATAACATTCTTTCACCTTAGCTGGTGTAGATCAGTGGATTGAGTGCCAGCCTGTGAACTAAAGGGCTTCGGGTTCAATTCCTGGTCAGGGCACATGCCTGGGTTGCAGGCCAGGTCCCTAGTGGGGGGCATGTGAGAGTCAACCACACATTGATATTTCTCTCCCTCTCTTTCTCCCTCCCTTCCCCTCTCTAAAAATAAATAAATAAAATCTTTTTAAAAAACTTAAAAAAATAACATTCTTTCATATGAATCTTTTCCAGTATGTGCAGATGGATGGTGAAATGCCCTTTGAGGCTTTCTCTGGGATAAGCACCCCTGGCTACTTTACCCACCAGCCAGGGGTTCCAATCCCCTTGCCACTGTCCCATGGGTGTGAATATTCATGTGTGGCAGGACCATACACTACCAAGGAAGTCAAAATTCTCACATCAAAATGCATAACATCCTATTTCTTTTGGTCCTGTCCTGTGCTCTGGGCTCTCCTATAGGAGCTGGGAGTCCATGAGAAAGAGACTCTTTTTGTCCACAACTATGAATTCCTGACTAGGATCCTGGGTCCTAGCGCTGGGAGGCTTGGTGGTTCTTCAGTGACTTTGGAACCTGCCCACCTTCCTGCCTCCTCTTCGCCTTCTAAATTGCTGGGTGCTAATCCTGTCGAACTGGCTTTATTAAGGTGCCACATGGTTCCTGCTCACTTGTCAGTGATGCTCTGGGCCCTCCTCCAACTTACGCCCTTGACTGCTTGCTACCACCATTCACTGGGCCCCAGGTGAACCCAGCAGTTAATAGGCTGCTGAGGCTGAAGTTAGCTCATTACAGTTTCTGAGGAATTAGCCTGTCAGTCAAAAACACTATATCCCGCTATGCTGTGACTGCAGAGTGATTGGTGTACGTGAGTGTGTGCTTCTGTGCACTCTATAAATAGTGTGTCTCTGAGCCCAACACTGAGTCCTCGAGAGTCCTGACCAGCCCTACGGCAGTCCCTCTCAGGCAGGACTCTTCTTCGGATGTGACAGTGACAGGAGGCCTTTCTAATGAGGCAACATTTCAGCCCTGCACATGGACACACTCACAGTCACAGCCTGTGTCTACCTTTGGTGACTCCCTTTTGAGAAACTCTCTGTATTGAATTAAAATCTATGTACACATGGCTTGTACTCCCATAGTGATTTTACCCTGGAGTGATAGTCAGCCTTTTCATATCCAGTTTGATGACCACGACTGGTCAAAATGGGCTCAAGCCACGGTGCCAGAGAAGGGTTTGGGAGGTACCTCCTATGCCAGGCATTGCCCTTTTGTTGCACCGCAGGGCGGTGGGGAGTTCCAGCCAGTCTGAGGGGAGGGGCTGGGGCAGGACAGAGGATGGGTGGGTTGGGGTCTTAGCTACTTGCTGGCTGGTAGGAAATATTTTAACAATTGGTAACACAGTACTGTCATGTACCAATAATCCATCCTAGTTTATCCCTCTGCCCACACAGAACAAGTCCATGCCCAGAGGCAGACTGAGCCTAAAAGGACTGTTGGCATTTCAAATCCTCTTGAACCAATTCTTGATTTTGTCTTTTAATCATCACCCTGCCCTCACCACCAGTTAGCTTTCTCTAGGCCTCCATGGCCCCATGGGACATCTGTGGAGGAAGCGGGCCACCTGCCACTTACAGCTGCATGACCAGGTAGTAGTGCGTGGTGCTCTCGTAGATGTCCTCCAGGGTCACGATGTTCTCATGCTTGATCCTGGGGGAACACAAGGGTCATGGTGAACGGCATGTGCTTTAGGTCATCCAGACAAAGCATGCAGTTCCAGTCCAAATGGACTCTTGCTTCTATTAGAAACTTTTGAGGATAATATTTAGGAAGTTAGGATCCCTATGAAGCCTTCCAAAAACATAGGCAGTCACAAAAAATCCCAGAGAAAAGATTCCTAGGGTGGTATTCAGTCCATAATTTTGAATGGATAATTGATCATTGTGCTTCAGGGAACAAATGTGCCCTTGTTGCTTTAGGGATCTCTTTCAGGTTTATCAAAAGAGAAAGTTAAAAGACCCAAGGGAACATTGAGGGAACATTGACCACTAGGTTAGTCTACAATGTGGGTATCCAGGTCTCTTTCAGAAACATTGCATGAAGAAAGGCCTTGTCATGGGTAACCATGGAGGAAGTGTGGCACAATTATTGTTCTAGAATATTGTGAGAAGGCAGATGCTCATTTGTGGGAGAGGCAGTTCTGTGGGATGCCTTAGATCAGTGATTCTCAGTCAGGGGGCTCTTTAGTCCCTCAGGGGACACTTGGCACTATCTAGAGACATTTTTGATTGTCTTGACCGGGGATGGGAGAGACGCTACAGGCATTTAGTAGGTAGAGGCAGGACTGCTGCTAAACATTCTACAGTGCAGAGGACAGCCCCCAGTACAACAAAGAATTGTCTGTTTTAAAATGTCAATAGTTCTGAGGTCAAGAAACTCTGTCCTAGATGACCTGTGTCTGGGATTACTCAGAGGATGAGGCAAGTAGAATAATCATATTAGCTGAGAGGCCTGGCCTTCTAATCAGCAGTCCTGTGCATGGCTGTCTAGGAGGAAAATTTCTAGGAAGTTTTACTCATGGTTGTGCATCACAGGGGTTAAGAACTCAGATGCTAAGTCACTTGGGTCTGAGTTCAGCTCTAGCTCAGGCATCTATTAACTGAGTAACACTGGCTGACTCACTCAGGTCTTCTATGGCTCACTTTCTTGTCTCCAAAGTACATCTCTCTCATAGGGTTAAATCAGGATTAAAAAAGAAATGCATATCAATGGCATAGTAAGTGCCTGGGGAACAGCAGACACACAATTAATAGTAACTATCATCTTGAAGACATTTCTAAAAATATAGGTCTCTTGTAGCAGTGCCTGATGGATTCAATCATACATAGAAGCTGACAAAGTTAACATTAATTTGTTCATGGTTCACACACTGAACAAATGTTTATTGAGCTGCTTATTTCTCTGTGTTATGAGGGACTGATGGTATAATGTGATGGTAAGAAAGATGACTGTGGTCCTTGCTTTCAGTGAGTCCAGAGTCCCTCTCTGCTTTCATCTCCCTGGAGCCCAGACGTATGTCTCCAACATCCTACCAGACACCTTCCTGTAGAGATATTCAACATTCAACACACCAATCAATTTCTTTCTACTTCCTCCAAGCCTACACGTCCTTTTTGTTTTCCATCCCAAGTGGTGATAGTAGTGTCCCCTTAATCCCTCAATCTCAGAATCATTTTTAATGTTTTTCTCTTTTATGCTCTTACCAACCAACCCCAAACCCAATCACTTCTTTGTCTAAAATGCTTCCCTAAACCCAGTCTTCTTGCCACCACATGGTCCTGCCACTACTTGGCTTGCATCCTCGTCCCTCACCTAGGTTATTGAGAATGTCTCCCGTTCTCTAGACTGGCATTCTCCAGGCCATCCTTCACCATGCTTAAGAGGGATGATGGCTCTACAACATGAATCTGATTATGTGACTCCTCACTTAAACTCCTTGGCCCACGGAATAAAGTCAACAGTCTTTATTATAACAGCCCAGATCCTTTATAATCAGGTCCCACTTGACCATTTTAGTTTCATTTCCTTTCCCTTAACAGTGTTCACTATGAGTTCAGAGGCTTCCAACACTAACTCTTCCCTAACAGCACTTGCACTGCCTTGATTCTTCGCTAAAGCTTATCCTATTCTTGGTCTGAATTCCCGTTGTGCATTGTCCCTCCTGCCTGCACACAATTCTGCTCACTCAAGTTCCCTCTTCTTTGAAAACCCATACTCATAAAAAACACACATGTAGGCAAAATGAATCCCTATCTCCGTTAAACTCTGCTTCCTGTTAGTATGGTTCACATCTAATGGGAATAGAGTTTGTTATGAGTACCTCTGTCTCTGCCCAGAAAATGTGAGTGCCTGAGAGTAAGGGATTTTGTTGGCTTCCTCCCTGTGTTTCTGAAGCCTACTACACTTTTGGCACCAAAGGCGCCCCACAAGGGTTTGTTGTACGAGTCCTGCTATAAATACCAGGATTTGTTAGTGCAGCATCCATCGCGATGCTTGGGGTGCTGACCCTGCATTTGATTTGGAACAAATTGAGGTTAATTTCCAAGTCTTATGCCTCTTCCTTAATTATTGATTCTCCAAGGGGTTGGCTCTCAATTGATTTTTGTTCCTTTAAGGTAATTACCCTTTGGTCTATGTGCACAAACCAGTTCTGCTACCACGTGTTTCACTGGTCAATCTGCTGCCCAAAACAAAAAAAATCAGCTAAGACAGCTGTCTGGCTAAATTTAGCTGACTAATCAAGTGACCCATTAGCCCAATCAAAGGGAGCAAGCCTTTTCATGCCTTTTGGTGTGAACAATCCAGCCCCAGTCCTTCGAGAAGGTAACCTGTGAAGGGAATGTGGGGATCCGAAGCTGTACCCCACCATCCCCAAGGCCCACTCACTTTTTCAGCACAGCGATCTCGTTCTCCAGGCTGCTGTCCCGGAAGGCTGGCGACTTCTTGATGCACTTCAGGGCGAAGAGCTTCCCAGTCATCCTTTGCTTCACCAGGAAAACTTCTGAAAAAGCTCCTCTGTGTAGAAGATGCCAGGACATAAGAATTAGTACTGGCTGCCTAGAGACCATTGCTGGAAGTAAAACCAAAGGGTTAATGAGGGAAGATGTGGCTGGTAAGTAGTTTCCATCGTCATTGTGGGTGCCTGATGGTCTGACATGCCAATCCTTTCTTTCATCCACCACACGGGAGAGAAAAAATTCCACTACAGACTCAGGGACTGGGAGGTGCTACTTCCTGGATCTTTAGTTTGGGAGGGACTCCCAGAGACTCTGCTTTGCTACGGAGAGATTTCTCCACTTGGCAAACCCATTTTAGAGAGGTCACTGCAGAGTCCATTTACTTTGCCTCTCTCAAGATGGCACAGGGTGGCAAGCCAGAGTGGCAGCTGGAGGTCTCACTGGGGCACAGGGCTCAGACACAGTGAGAGAAAAGACTCCTGTATCCATTGTAGATGGTGGTAATGACCCTGAACCCATGATCAGAGGCAGGGGGCTGATTATCCTCTCGTTCAGTAGCATCCGTGAGAGTGGAAGACAGAACCCGGCAGGTCTGGGCCGGCTTCTGAAGACAGAGGGGATGGAACCCAATAGCAGCACAGTGTGCGATTCCAAACTACAGGCTCGTTGGTTTGAAGGGGGTCCTCTGGAGACCAGACCATCAGAGCAGCACTTAGCTAGTGGAGGATGCTGGAGCCTGATCGTCCACGTCAGAACCTCAGCTTTTTAGGTGGCAAGTCACTTAATTGCTGTATAACCAGTTTCTTTATCTGAAAAGTGTGAGTATTGATAGTATCTGATTCATACGGTTGTTTACAAGATTAAATGAGTTAATGAAAGTGCTTAAGAGTATTCCTGACAGCCACTAAGCCACATGTGTTAGTTATTATTATTATTATTATTATTATTATTATTATTATTATTATTTGAATACCATTAGGGAGGACACCTGGTAGTAACAAGAGGAAATGAAGTTTAAGGGAGGAAACAGCTGAGTCATCCTCACTGCCACGTGGGTTCCAGAATGAAGGCCCAACTGCAGTGAAGCTGGTGGAAAGGACCTTGAGAGTCCGCATCAGAAAATGCTCAGTGTTTCCTGTGTCTGAGTTTCCTGTTTCCCCAGCTGCACTGGGAACGGAGTTAATCAGAGCCTTCCGAGCTCGTCTAGTCATTCATCCGGTCACTCCTTCCTTTCATCAGGACTTATTGAGCACCTACTGAGTCTTAGATGCTGGAGGTAAAAAGTACGTTTCAGCACTTAAGGTGCCTGTAGACTAGTGAGGGACACAGGCAAATAAACAGTTGATATTTAATTTGAAAAATATTATCCACCATTCAGAGAATGCTTGTTGTGCTGACAGGACCTCTCTGTGTTAGGCACTGGGGATAGTTCTGGGTGAGCTTAGAATCTAGAGTGAGAGAAGCGCATGCAGAGGAGCAGGAGGTGTCCCGAGATCTCAGACAGTGCAGACTCAGGACGTGCATCTGCCGTGGCTGGGCAGGCTGTGCCCTGTGCAGTTCCAGCAGATGCCATTCACCTTGGAGCCACTGTATATTTTCATGTGGTAGCTATTCCCATGTTTCCCCATAACCTCCCTGCAGCCTGCAGGTTAGAGAAAAGGGCAATTGTCCTAACGTGTGCGAAATGACCACTGGGGGTGGCTGAGGAGGACACACGTCATGGCTGTCTGACATAAGAACACCTGGAGCTCAGTTTAAAGGAATGAGTGAAAGTTAGTTCAGTGGGAAAAACACAAACGAACTTGGAAGTGATGTTTCAGGCAGGGCTGGAGAAGAAGCATGAGAAAAAGCATGGAGGTGTGGACCAGCCAGTAGGGGTGAGACTCCACTTTCCCTAACCTATAAAACGAGGGAGTTGAACCACGTGAGCTTAATGATGCCTGCCAGCGGTGACATTTTAGGATCCACTTTGAGTTCTCCTTTCACCTTTATCTTTACAACCACACATGAATAATCCCCTGATTTCAAAGCTGACACCCACTCTGGGTCCTCTTGTGGAATGGAATCAAATTAAGGTCTTCCTGGGGTACCACCCACATCAAGGTGTCTGTCAGTGGCATGTGTTGTGGCAATTTGAAACAATGTCACTGCTCTTCTGCCTCAGGCTGCTTTCTACTGTGTGTGTGTGTCAGGGCTGTGCGTGACAGGGACAGAGGAGAGCGGTTAGGAGACTTAATTGTGCCATCTGTCAGGTCAGGGAGCAGAGAGCTAGTTTTGAGCAGTCAAGGTCGTTCAGGTCAGGAGGCAAGACAGGAAGAGCCTTCAGAGCCAGGAGTAATTGCTTCAACAGAACTCAGTTTGCATTTCCTGCTCTGAATAGCTCTCTGCTCTTGCTGGGATCCTGCGTGGCAGGGTGAGGGCATGGGCCAAAAAGAAAAATCTCTTCCTGGTCTGTGAAGGGCAGCTGGCCTGGAACTTGGGTGAGATACCTCCTGCTATGGACTACCTTGGCCCAGTGTCCCTACAGCTGTCCTAGGGCCCTGGAATTGTGGGTGGTGTCTGGGCAGATGTAACAAAAGCCTATTCTCCCTGGTGGGTTGTTGCAGAGGAGCTGAGGACTAGCGGGAAGAGGCTTTGTCACGGGATTCTGGTGCATCCAGATGGGGACCGTGCTCCGCCACGTGGCTGCCCCCTCCACTGCACCTCACCAGGGTCAGTTGTGGGGTCTGCAGCCCGGTGCTGCCGGTCCCCCTCCTGAGCACCACAGACAGGCCTCCCCTGCAGCTTCTCCTCTGCCCTGACTGCTGCAACAGTGACTTGACCCTGATTGTCCTCTTGGTTTCCCCAAATCAGCGTGGAGCTGGATACAGTAGAGCTAGTGGGAACACGTAAAATATAGATTCCTGGCTGCCGGGTCCTGGCTTCCCAAATCCCAGTTCCGTAGATCTGGGGCCAGGAATCTATATTTTTCAAAAAGTTGTCTAGGCTAAAATAATAGGAAATTATTATTTCTTAGTATGAAAATGATACTGTGGATATAAAAGAAAAGGCCTTTATTCTTAGGAGATGCAGATGGAAGGATTCAGAAGTGATGTGTGATGATGTTTGCAACCAGTTTACAAATTGTTTAGTGAGTGTGTATATGTAAAACCAATACAGTGAAGTGTTAACAACTGTTGAACTTAGGGGGTGGGCATGTTGGTGCTGACCGTACTATTATTTCCCTGTGTCTTTCCTGAAACATATTCACAGTTAACCGTTAGAGGGATAAGAGCCCAGGGGGCGCTGGTGGCCCCCTGGGTTTAGAAACTGCAGCATGACTTCGCTGGGCTCCAGGATGGCCGTGCGTGCCTTCTGACAGTCTTACGGCACCAGTCTGAGCCGACGGTGAATGAGCTTCTGTCAACCCAGGCTTCCTTCTCCCCCTTTTCTTGTGTTTTGGGCAAACTATTTCTGATTCACTCACGAGTCTTGTCCCTCTCTCTTTTGCCAATACTCCCTTCCTAGCCACTCCCATCTTGGCAAAGGCCCTTGATGGAGGGCCAGTGCTTTGATGACCAGCACCATGCCTGGGACCCTTCTGTGACACAGAGCCCGACTCCTGCCTGGGCGAGGAGGGCCCGGAGGCCTCCTCTCAGCACCGCATCCTCTCTGGCTACAGTGTGAGTGTGGCTAGCCTTGCTGCCCGAGGCCACTGCCTCCTAGCCAAGGCAGAGGGGGAGCTGGCTTAAATGCGCAGCCCACTAACTGCCTCTCTTTTCCCCAGGCCCCTGGCCCAATTAGCCCAGACTAATTAGCTAACCGGCTGCGGTTTGGAGGCGAGGCATGGGGGCGGTGGCCTGGAGGTGCTGCAGCGGCTGTGCCCTCGGCGGGAGTGGGGGTGTGGGTGGGGGAAAGAGGCGGGACTGAGCGCACTGAGTGTCAGCTCCAGACAGGCCAGCTCTGCTCTGCTAGCTGTGTAATCATTGCCAAGGGGCGGCACAGACTCCCCGGAGGCTGGTAGGAGTTTGGGCTGCAGTGTGACCTTATTTTTCCAACATAGCACTTAACTACGGAGCAGAGACTGCGGTGGGGTGGGGAGCCGATCCAAGTGTGGAATCCTCCTGCTCTCTGAGCCTCTGAAGCACGTTTTCTTCCTTCTACAGTAGACAGTGGGGCTGGCCTTTCATCGCCCAGGGAAATGAAAAAGTGGGGTGGGAAGGCCCAGAAAAGTTCTAGGGTCACTGAATCTCCGGAAGTTCCAGAAAGTCTCTTTTCTCCTACCAGGAGCTCGCAAGATGTGGCAGATATGGGTGCAGGTGGGCAGGGGGGCAGTCCCTGGGGGGAGATCAGAAGGTAGAAGCTGGGGGAAGGGCTGATTTTCCCTGAGGGCTCCAGTGTGTTAAACTGTCCTCTGTTTTATCCCAAGGTACCTTCCCCTCCCCTCCCCTCCCCCACAAGGCCCCTACACCTTCCTAGGTCCCTGGGAGCTGCTGAGATGATGTCCCTGCTTGTCCATCTCTGCTGGCCTGGAACAACTCCTTTCCAGCTGCCCCCAGTGGTGCCCTGCGCCCCCCCCCCCGCCATCTCAGCCCCGCACTCACGATCCCAGCACTTCCATGAAGATGAAGGTTTTCCTGATGTTGGTGGTCTGCTTCTTCCAGGAGCTGCAGTCCTCGTCTTCCTTTCGGCCCATCGCCTCCAGAGTTGAAGCTTCTGGGGATGCTGTGAGGAAGGGAAGAAGGGTCTGCTCAGCTAATTTCGCATATACAATGAGATATGTTGTGAAAAGAATTGAAAGTACATCCTTCAGGGAACAATTAGAAGGCTGAAGAGTAGAATCTGGATATTTGGCAAAAATAAGACTATTCTCTCCGCTTGCTTTGTCAATCACTACAACAATTTTATTGAGCATCTACTACACGCCCACTGTTCTTGCCACACACTCAAGGAGTTTGGAGTCTAGTGTGCAGAGGAAGCTGTACTTTGCATATACACAGTTAAGGGCAGTAACACATCCATGTATGGATTAACATGGGATCACACACCTTGAGGGGGCCTGGGATGAGCTGAGGTATTTCCTGTGTGGCCAGGTGGCCCCCAAGGTGTTTATTCACATTGCTGAGTCAGCCCCACTTCCTTTTCTATTATCCCAGCTCTGCCACCTCCGCCAATCCCCAGTCCTTCCTGGTTCCCCCTCTCCCCTACCTGTTACAGATTAAATGAATGGACACTAGATGAATGAGCACTGTGTTTCCTCTGTAACTCACAACATCTAGCGCAGAACTGGGAAAATGGTTATTTACTGAACTCTAAACTGAATCATGTCTTAACTTTGATATCCGAGTTCTTGAATTACCACATTCATTCAATTTTTGACACTGAGACGTGCCCAGCATTGCCTGTTCCGATGGACAACACAGACACTGGCCCCGCCCTCCCGAGGCTGGCAGGCCCAAGGAGATAGGCAACAAGCCAGTGAACTACTGTGCACAGGGACACCGTGTGGGAAGACCCTGAACACAACCCAGGCTTCAAGTAGAGACAGATAGGGTGGGTCTTCTTTAGGTGAAGGTCAGGGGACACCTCTCTGAGCAGGTCATGTTTCAGGTGAGGTCAGTTCATGGAGGCACCAGCCCAGTGCAGAGGGTGTCAAGGAGCATTCTGGCAGAAGGAACGAAGCACAGAAGTCCACAGAGGGAAGGAGGCTGAGGGAGCTGAAGAGACAGTGTGGCTGGGGCAGCGTGAACTCTGCCCGGCGCGGAGTGGTGGGTGGCCAGGGAGAGGCAGGCCCGGAACAGACCTGAGACGGCCTTAGAGACTCCCTTACATATTGGATTTTCCTCTTAGTGAGGCTGGGAGACATTGGAGAATTTTTAGCCAGGGAGTTAAATTAGATCACTGAACTGAGGTTTTAAAGAGCTCACTCTGGCTGTTCCATGGAGAATGGAGGGGAGGGGGCAGGAGCTAATCCATGGAGAGTAGGAAGGGGGCAGAAACCTATAAGAAAGATGGTAGTGGCTTGGACCACAGTGGTAGGGAAGGAGAGAAGTGGATGGACCCGGGATATATTCTGGGGGCCGCATTTTCTACGATACTAGGTGATGTGTCTGTGGTGGGGTGAGAGGACTCTAGACTGACTCTTGTGCTTCCGGTAGAAACACCTCGTGGTAAAGGTGCCCTTTATGGGGCCATGTTTACTAGAGAGAAGCATGCTCTTGGGGTGTGGTTGGGTGGGTTGGAAGGACTCTCTGGTCCTTTGGGTGCCGTTCCCTAGCCACCCTAGTGCCGCTGGACGGAGGGCACTGAGTTTCTGGGAGTGCTGGGTGAGACACACATCTGCCAGCACCCTTCTCCCGCAAACTCGTTGGACCTGACAGAGCGGGAGGAAAGTCTGTCTAATGGTGGTATGTCTCAGGCAATACTTCTCCTTCCCCATTAAAAAATGTGCTAGTAGAATCCTTGGGGTCTTCTCATAGCTTTAGAACAAAGAGACAGTTTGCACCTCTACAATTTAGCATTACATAACATACATTTAGAGGTCAACCTGAGTTCAAATCCTACCTGCACTAGTTACTAGTTAAATTGCCTTAAGCAGGTTAGTAACAGCTTTGAGTCCATTAACTCATCTGTAACGTGGGGACGAAGGCCTTTTGGTTTTGAGGAAGAGTGAAGGAAACTGAGTATACAGACGTAGCATATTGTGTCACGTGCATCAAACAGCTGTAACAGAGAGAATATTTGGGGGGATATTAAGTTGATGTTTTTCATTCCTGGTAATTCCCTTCTGGAGGACTCATGTCATTGAATAGGTTCTATAGTATAGAAGGAAACCTCTTCTGCCATGAAGACATAACTGTGAATATTAGACCCTGGAAATAAGGACAATGTGATACAGACGAGGTCCTTTAGAGAGGACAGGCTTGGAAAGACTGACACTTTTGGTCCAGGTGGATCCTGGGAAGGAGACGGGGAGGCAGATGGTGTAGTTGTCAGAAGCACACATCTTTGCTAACGTCCATCTGGGAACGGACGGGCGGGCTTTCAGGCCCCTGCTGGTGGGAGTCTGTATGCCTAGGGGGGACTCTGGCTGGGGCCACATCTAAGAGGACAGAAAGTTATGATAGGGCAGGCCGAGGGGGAGAAAGCTGAGCGAGACGGGGTCGCATGACCTGCAGAAGTTCCCCAGGGCCTGTGTGGGGGCTGGAGCCAGCCTGCGCCAGCTCAGGCACGAGAGCTGACTGTGCACATCTCTTGAGGGCTCCACGCTTAGTGGCCTCCTGTTGTTAGTGTGCAATTGGCTGTGGTGGGAAACAGGCGAATATGACCATCGGGACTTTTCCTCATTCTTCCCCCTGCCCTCCAAGAGCCAGATATTAACACCTATCAGCTTCCCTCTGCCCATGGCCCTGGTGAGGGGAAATGTTGCTACTAGAGGGAATGTCACCTGGGGCCTAGATAAAGAGGTGGCCACAATCAAAGAGTTCTCAGATGGAAGCACATGGCTGGGATCAGGGCCTTCAGTGGAGGTTGTCAGCATGACATCTCACGGGCCAGATGGGCCTGGTCACAACTCAGAGGTCACTCACTACTCAGCCCAGATGACTGTAATTTGAGGTCCTTGGTAGGTTTGATGCCCCCTCTCCCACATTAAAGCCAGGTCAAGTACCTTACAACATGAAACGGCTTCTTGAACTAGAACAGGAGGAGGAAAGATCATCTCAAGGCTGTGTTTTCCTGAAAGACACTTTATAAATGGCTAAATGAGGCTCTTTATTAAACCTGAAAGGTTATAATGGACAAATTTAAATGTCGTTTCCTTTTTTTTTTTTGCTGCCTAGCAGGGTGAACTTTTATAGGGAATAAAGAATCTACATTTTCTTTGCATATTTTAGTATCACCTGTAAATTTGCAACTTGGCTATATAATTATGAAAACATCTTTGATACAGCTGAGTGTGGATCTGGTGGCTTGTGCTGGTAACATCAGGCTATTTTGTTAATTTGCTCCTTTTGGCAGGGTGGCAGCCCAGGGGGGCTACAGAACTGGCCAGAGCAGGACCCGCCCTGGACTTTGTCAGTCGGTCACAGTCTGCAAGGTGGGGACGAATGGGCCCTGGCTGGAAGAGACTGCCTAGAGAAAGATTACATATTACCATAGAGGGCTATCTTTTGCTGGATACCATTCTGCAGGTTTTTAGCCCCAAATCTAGCAGTTTCCACTTATCAGAGTGGTTGGCATCTAAGTTTGGACCCAAATGCTTCTTACTGTGTGGACATACTGTGGCTGAGAAGTCACAAAGTATGTGAGGCGAAGAGATGGGCATTGAAAGGAACCAAATCAACAGGGTCAGTTTGTGCGTCTCCTTCCTTGTCTCTCTCCCATTCCGTAGAACAGGGCTGCAGACGCTGCTTTTCCACGTAGGAGTCAATCAAAAGTCGCCTCTCCAGCTCCAGCCTTCGGCTGGGCGGTCACCACTCCCCCTTGTGGACCCCCGTGGAATGACGGCCTGCTCGCTCTCCAGGAGGCATCGCCACCTCATTAGTGATCTGTACTCTCTGTTCCTTCTTTCCCATCTCTCTTAAATAGCTTAAAAACATAGTATTCTTAGCCTAAGCTAAGCTATAAGAAAACATCTTTCCCGCCCACCCCTCCTCCCATACACTCCATCCTAACAATTCAGTTTTATCTTCAGAGCTCCGTGGCAATATCTGGGGCTAAATCTGAACCCCTGCTTCATGCCCGCCCTGGTCCACCCCAGAGAAACCTCAAGGCCCTTCAGAGGAAAACAAATTCTGTGAAGGCGGAGGCTCCAGTATTGCTCTCATTTGTTTCCAAAGCGCTCCCTGCCTCTCTCTGTCTCTGGCAATAATTTCTGTTGGGCTTCAAAGCCCCACAACAGCCACTGTAGATTCTGAGATTTAGAGCTGATTTCCCACATGCAGCTCAGGAGATGCTGCGGATGCTGGCATTTGGGGCTAGCTCCTCAACAGGGCCTGACCCTTGATGCTATTCTGCAAAATGGCTCCGGGCAAAGGAAATGACCTCATTGCATGGGACTATCTTTGAGTCATGGAGGTAACACTCCTTCATTCGACATGCATCTATTGAGTGCCTCCTGTATACACACTGGACTAAATACAGACATTTTTATGATATGAGGCTACCCTGCAAAGTGCCTACAGTCCAGGTGGAAAGAGCAAGCAGAGGTATATTAAGGAATACCTAAGGACACAGACCAGCTGATGGGAGTTGGCAAATGAATGAGCAAGTCGGGTCAGAATCAAAATGGTTCAGAGGTCAACTGTAGGTTAATTGCTTTTGTGTGAGTTTCCCTCACCAGAAAATGAGTGCTTTAAGGTCAGGGGCGTGGTTCCTCCTCTTGGAATCCCCAATGTCTGGTGCTGAGCCTGGGGCATACAAGGGTCCAGCCCCAGTTTGTTAATGAATGAAGGAGGAGGAGAGCTCTGCGGGGTGGGAGGGAGGCCTGATCAGGGATTGCTTTGCAGAGGAGTTGGATTTAGATGGGTACTGAAGGGTGTGGGGTAGGGGTTGCAGTCTTGATATTGCTCTGGAGAAGAACAGCAGCAACAAGCCCTGCACCCTGGGGGGCAGGCAGTAGGACCTCCCCTTTAGCAGCAGAGAGGGCAAAATCGACTTGCCTTCTTTGTCATCTTCGTCACTTCTGGGACAGGCAATGCAGGGCCTGAGGTGGGTGGGCCTGAGGTCCAGTTCTTGGTGAGCAGAACTGCCCTGGGACCCTTGAACAGGCCTCCCCTGACCATGCTATCTGGAGTCACCTCCCTTCCCCCTGAAGTTACTCTGTAATGTGAGCCTGAGCCCGTCTTCCACAACATATCTGACAATCCAAAACTCCCCCGCTTGTTTGTTTGAGGTCATATCCTCACTAGAAAGCAACTTCATGTGGACAAAGACCTGGTCCATCTCCTTGTCTCCCTTGGTCCTAGCTCAGCGCCTGGCTCTTACTAGTGCTCAGGCATATTTTTTGGATGGTCTTCTGATCTCTTGGGGGAAATTTTCATAGCCAGGAGGAGACTACAGAGGGAAAAGTTCTTCCTGAAGGGCTCGATGCACAGCCTTGGGGTGGACCCTGCCTCCGAGTGCAGCCCTTTCTGAGCTTCTGGGGACAGGCTGTGTGATCCCTGTGCATCCAGCCTGGCCACTTATGAGGCGCTGCTGAGAGATCTTGGGCTGTGAGCCCA